TTTTGACAGCCCTACATAAAGTACAACAAAAATTGCATCCCAAGGGTTGATGGTTGGTTGTAAGAGGGGCGGTGGGAGATTGGCAGTGGAGCAGCAGGTGAAGGAAAGAGGGTTGCTGGACTACAGGCAGAAGAGATAGGTTGGCTGGCCGGCAGAAGGCATCAGGGAGGGCGGTATGGTGCTGCTCTTGAGTTACAAGAGTGAAGGCGTCCGTGTGACTTGCGACAGAAGAAGGTAGGAGTAGTTGGCTGCAGACGGTTGGACTAGAGGTGGAAATGATAGGCAGCCGGACTGCAAATAAGGAAAAGAGCTTTGGTTGGCTGCAGGTGGAAGGAGTGGTTGCAGGGGGGTGAATGTAACTGGCAAGGAAGAGTTACGACAGGGCAGGAGCGGGGTATGATGGGAGGCTAAGGATTGCTGGTAGAGGGTATGCGGCTGGTTGGAGGTGGATGGTAAGGTGGAAGGAGCGTTGGCTTCATGGAAACAGCAGAGCTGCTGTCCAGTGACTGTGGTAGAGATGGACAGGTATAAGGAGGTGGAGGTAGGGTGGTCTGTAGGAGCTACAGAAAAATAAGTCAAAGATAATCACCGCCTCATACGAGATATAGTCGAATCAGCACTTGTCATTGGATACAGCCCTAGAAGGGAAAACCTTAACGCCGACGACTGTCCTGCCAGAAAATACTAAGAAAAATTGACTTAAAACACGAAAACAGCACATTTATAGACCTAGGGTAAAGAGGAGTGAAACCCGCTTCAAATAGGAGGGAAGCCCATGCCTGGAAGGATCGGTCAATCCCTACTTTGTCTGGACCAAACTGGTCCGCGGTAAAGAGAGTCACGGCATTTGCCACATGGACGCTGGATGCCTACGTCACTATGATTTACAAAAGAATAAAAATTCGGATAGCATATCCTAGACAAAATTTGATTAAGATGGGGCTCAAAGACTTATAATTTGCGCCGAGATGAATACAATAAATAGGCACTCAATTAACTTTTGTATTGCACTCATCTAAAAGCAAATGTTAGGGATTTAAACTCCAAGTTTATCAAACTATAGTCAAAATATCTTCACACAACTTTTTCCTTTACAAAATAATTAAAATTAACAGAATGTTATCCTTCAAGCGAACGGGTTCCACCAAAATTTAGTAAACTATTTCACAAGGATTTAAGAAAATTATGCCATATCTTCATAAGAAGGTGAACGGAGTCACCAATCAAATTATTCAGAGTTAGCAAATATAGTATTTAAGCATTCATAAATATGGAACTAAATGTTAGAGGTACATTGATTTTTCTAAACCGAGTTAATTTATTTCTCCTCTAATAGATTCTTACTCATGATAAAGTGTTGAAATTCATAATAACAAGGAATAAAGCATAATATTTTTATTGATATGAAAAGGGGTATAAATAACCCTTACCTCAATCCTAGAATAAAAAACAAAATAAAAATAAATAACATGAAAGAAAAAAATATAACTTTAAATCTCCAATTAATCAATTCATATTAATTAATTGGGGATGAAGGAAAAAACATAAAATTTGAAAACCTAAAATAGAAAAGGAAATAACTACTAATCAAAGGAAATAAATATAAAATAGGAAGGAAATAACTCCTAATCTAAGGAAATAATTTATTTATCATAAATTCTCACATAAATAAATTATTTCCTAATATAACTTCTAACACTTTCTCTCAAGTTGAACATTGTTGAAAACCATGTTGGACCTGCATTTTGAAACATCAAACAATGGGTGAGGAAGAATTTGTGAGGTTGAACTTGAAGTTTTCATCTCGTACTGCAGTTGCCTTTGACTGCAGTTCTTGTAGTGTCTGAAGGTAGGCGGAAGAATCCTACAAATAATGTTATATGGGAGTTTACAAGGCTTAATGTAGGAAAAGTTGACTTCTAGTTAACTGTGGTTGTCATTGACTACAGTTCCTGTAGTGTCTTTAGATTGGCAAAAGGCTCTTACAGATAATGTTGCAGGGGACTTTGCAGGGAAGTAGACAACTTGTAGAAAAAAACTGTAAGGTATGACTTCTAGAAAAAAAGGAAATAACTCTGGAGGTAAGCCTTGAGGCAGGAAAAGGCTCCGGAGGAGGGCCTGCTGCAAGAAGAATTCTGGTGGAGGAATTGCTGCAGGAATAACTCTAGAAGAGGGTCTAATACAGAAAAAAGCATCAAAGGAGGACCTATAAAAAATCAAGAAAGCCAAACAGTTGGAAACTAGGAAGTCGGACTGTTGGAAACCATGAAGCCAGGCTGTTGAAAATCTGACAATTGGAGGAAATCTGGAGAGCCAGACTATTGAAAACCAGGAAGTTGGAGTGTTGCAGGGAACAGGTGCCAAAAAACAACGGAAAGGACCTCCAGAGAAAGTTGCACCGCTAGCTGTAGGGACATGCAGAAAATTAGAGAAGTTGGACTGTTGCAGGAAAGAGGTGTAAAAAACTAGCGAGAAGGACCTCTCCAAAAGAGGTCAACTATTGCTTCTCTCTTCTCCGATAGGTCCATCTCCTCAGCAAATCGACGAGAACATACATTGCAGGCACTCTGCGAGACTGCGTACAAGCGACCATCGAACGTTTCTCTAAGAATTCCTCTTCCAAAACAAATTGAGGAATCTGGTTGGTCTTGCCACTCCAAGTTTCCCCGACAAGAATAATGGTCTGGTTGTCACGAAGAACTTGAAGGAACTCATCTTTCTGCTGCCACACGGGAAGTGTCTTCCTTTTTTCAAAGAAGTCAAGGTACCTTTGTGAGTAGGTCCGTCCGGTCCATCGGTTTATCGTCGTCGGCAGAAGGGTCGCCGAAGCGCCACCGGCTAACCAACCGTTAATCCGAGACAACAGCGCCACCATCAAAGGATTCCTACTGTAGGAGAAAGAGTTGGTTATAGGAAATCCTCTAGGGAAGGAACAGGCTGCAAGTGGGCTTTTAAAGGGGACAATATCAAAAGAGCCTCTCTGGAATGGATTCATATATTATGTTATCGTTCTCCTTTCTTGGGTGCTCTAGTAAAACAAAAGATATCCTTTGCAGGATTGATTTACTGTTCTCATCTATCAGACATAACAGTATTACAACATTGAGATCTCCAAACAAGAGCCAAAGTCTTTGTTTGTGCGTAGCTCTATTATGTTGAATAAACTTAGCTAATCCAATTCCAGAGAAGAAATAATCTCTTCGGAAACACACATGGGGTATATGGTGACCTCAATTGTTGGCAAAAGATGTGAAGGTTTTACAAATTCCTGAAAACCTTGAAGTATGGATTTTCTTGAACAAGAGATGATATGAGAAAAGTCATTTCGCTTCTTAGTTTTCCTTGAGAACAAAGCATATCCTGAAAAAATCCTCTAATGCTTGTAGACAGAAGAAGGGCTCGTGACAAACCATAAATTGGTTGTTTTCTGGAGCAGCGGACTGAAGAAATTTAATGTAGGAAGAAGCAGCGGCAAAACCTAGAAAGGGAAGCAGCGAACTGAAGCAATCCTTGGAGCAACAACAGAAATCTAGAAATTTACTACATTAAGGTGCAGCAGCAGAACCTTCAAAGAAATTCTAAGAAATCAACTGAGAAATTCCAAGAAATCGACTAAGAAATCCCAGAAAATTGGTTGGCGGAAAATCTAGGTCAGGTGGTAGAAATTTACTGCGGGAAATCAGGAAGGGTTGGACGAATGCAGAGCAGACCAACAACTTGGAAAAAATAGCCAGAGGAGATGGCTGTTAGGAAAAACTGCGGGAGGCCCCGCAGATAGAAGAAGCAAAATCATTGTTTCAAATACCAAGGCAAGTTCCCCTCCCTTACCACATGGATCTGGAAGGAGGACCGGCAGGTAGGGTACAAAATCAAACTCTGAAACCATGTTGAAATTCATAATAATACGGAATGAAGCAGAATATTTTTATTTATATGAAAAGGGGTATAAATAACTCATACATGAATCCTAGAATATGAAAGAATATAAAATGTAATAACAT